CAGTCAACGTGCTATACATTGGAATGTCCGAGCTGGTAGACACCAACGGCGTATTGGACAGGAGTCCCGAGCGTGGCTCGCGGGCTGATCGTGGAGTGACCCGTAACCCACTGAGCGCTGCTCAAGTTTCGAAGCTGTCGCTGCATGCCATTAATGGCGTGGTCGGACAGAGTCCGAGGCATCTTGGACACGGCCCATCAGATGTGCGTGGAGTGGCACGTTATCCACTGGACGAAGGCTGCGGGGTTAGCAGCTATTCGTCGGATGTTGTAGATAGAATCGGAGCTCTAAAGGGGTGGACAGTGAGGGTGACACCAGACGACGCGGAGTGCGTGTTCACCCTGGTCTCACCGAGACATAGAACCTCTGAGCAGAGGCGACGGCGACGCCGTATGCTGACTGCAAGACGCCGGGCGTCGACCCTGATCCAGGGTGTGTCTACCGTAGACGATGGCACACAGTTATACACCCTCGTCAACGGTATGACGTGGGAGGAAGTTGGCGACGCCCGCCTCGAGGTTATGCTTGCAGTAGATGCTCTTCTTGAGCTGGACGAGATGTACCTTGAAGAGTTCGGTAGTGCCGTGAAGGCAGGCGATTTGGCCGAAGTGGTCATTGTACGACCGGACGAGGAGATACACCCGTCATCGCTTCTAAATGAAGCTGTCTTGGAGGACACCAAGAGAGTGCTGAACTCACGAAGTGAATCGTCGATCCTACGGAATCTTTTGGATCCGTACTATCCATTGGTAACGGAATCTCAAGACGTAGTCTCCAAAGACCCGTCTTCGGTCCTACCTCCGGACCGAGGTGTGTGTCATGAGATCGACCTGGTTCCTGGAACCAAATAATGCGTAACAAGCCAATGGCCCCTGCCCAAGGAGCAGAGTGACGTCACTGACGCCTTTTTCGTGCAAAGCACGATGCAGGAATTGTACGTGTGAGCAAGTCTCCCCATTCGACACTCAGCTTTGTGTTCGGAAGTCGAACGGCAAGTGTCGTATCGTTCATGCTTACAATAATCTCAACGCTGCCACCATTCCGGCACAGACGCTGATTCCTAGAAAGATGTTCTTCAGAACGACATGGTGGGATGTACGAAGTACAGTGCACTCTCCTTGTAGATGGATATTTCCAGTTGCTCATGAGAGCGAGTGATATTCCTCTGACAGCGGTTAGCATCCCGAGCGGCATGCTCTGAGAGTGGCTGGTGATGCCCCAAGGGCTGTCAAATGCACGGACCAGCAACATTTAATCGTCTTGTGACGCAGTTTTTGAGGTCCCACAGGGCGTTTGCACAGACATATATTGACGACGTTTTCGCTCACAGTCGTGCGGAGCACGGGAGGACAGATGAGGAGAATCACATAGTCCATTTTAAGAGCGGTGCTCGAGTGCATGCGCACGAACAAACTGTACGCCAATGCAGACAA